AAAAGGCAACAACAGTGACTAAGAGGAACTTATGAGTCTTCCCTATAGAGAATTTAAAGTTGTCATGATTAAAAAACTGAAAGAAATTGAAAAGGATATGGGAAAAATAATCAACAGTATGGGAAAAATAATCAATGACCAGGGCCTCCCCTGGTGGTGCAGGCAGTTGAGTGCAGCTCTGTGAAGCTGTCCACAGCCTCTGCAGCACGTATTCAATCCTGGCCAGGCAGCGAGGGTCCCACATGTTGTGGCAGACCTCTCCTGTCATGCCCGCTGCTCCCCTCAGCAGTGTATTTTGTCAGTTTGCCTGTTCTGTTCCCCACTCTGTCTCTGGTGAATCCTCTCACCCTCCCGTGAATCTGGCCTGTATCCCATTTCTTATATAAATAAATAAATAAATCTTTAAAAGAAAGTAATCAACGACCAGAAGAATGAAATTGAGTCCCTAAAAAGGGAAATGAAAGAAATGCAGAATGCAGGCGATCAAAAGATTAATGGAGGAGCGCAAAAACTCTGGGAAAAGCAGTGAAAGCAGAATAGATGAAATGGAAGAAAGAATAAGTACTCTCGAAGACATAAATAAAAGGAACCAAAACAGAAAAGAGAAGTATAAAGGAAAAAGAATGAAGAAAGACTTTGGGAACTATATGACTCCATAGGAAATACAATATAGGTCCAATATAAGAGTTATAGGAATCCCAGAAGGAGAGGAGAGAGACATAGGAACAGAGTAAATATTCAAGGAAATAATTGAAGAGAACTTCCAAATATGAAGAATAAGCTGAAAATAGACATTCAAAAAACAAAAAAAAGAACACCAAACTTCCATGAGGAAAGGAAAAATACAGCAAGACACATAATAGTAAAGTTCCCAGGAATCCAAGACGAGGAAAAAATAATGAAGCTGACAAGAGGGAAGAAACAGATAGCATACAAAGGAAAACCAATCAGGCTGACATCAGACTTTTCCAAAGAAACACTACAGGCAAGGAGAGAGTGGAGGGACATAGTCCACAAACTCTAAGACAACAAATGCCAACCAAGAATACTCTATGCCACAAAGCTTTCCTTTCTCTATGAAGAAAGAATAAGGACCTTCTCAGACAAACAGAAACTTCAGAATTTCATTCCAACTAAATTCCATTCCAAAAAATACTGCAAGGAGTCCTAAAGCCAGAACCAAAAGAGGGATGAAAAAGAACAAAACTAGACCCCTCCAAAATATAATTAATTTTAAAATAAATAAATAAAACCAGAGAAAAGACAAACAAATGGCAAATACAGACACTAATATACCAATATTAACTCTAAATGTAAATGGACAAAACTCTTCAATAAAAAGACACAGAGTTGCAGTGTGGATTAAGAAACAAAACCCAACTTTTGCTGTCTCCAGGAAACACATTTGACTACAAAAGTTAAAAGTAGACTGAAAGTAGGGCCTCCCCGGAGGCACAGCGGTTGAGCTCTGGGTTGCAAAGCTGCCCACAGCCTCTGCAGCACCAGTTCTATCCTCGGCCTCTGGGCAAGGGTCCCACATTGCGCGCAGACCTCTCCTGCCACCTGCTGCTCTCCTCAGCAGTGTACTTCTTTGGTCTGCCTGTTCTGTTCCCTGCTCTGGCTCTGGTGAATTCTCTCACCCTCCCACACTTCTGACTGTACCCAGAGCTTGTATAAATAAATAAATAAATCTTAAAAAAAAAGTAGACTGAAAGTAAAAGGATGGAAAACAATCCTACAAGCAAATGGACCAAAAAAGAAGAGAGGAGAATCAAGCATTATTTCCAATAACTGTAGGTATCTACTGGTGAGCAAGAACTTCTGTCATAGACAACAATTTTAATAATAACAAAAATATGACCACATTCAGAGATTTGGTTACAGCATAGAAGACTTTTTGATTCTAAAAAATCATAATTTTTCAGTTAAAGAGGCCAGTAAATGAACAATAAGTAAAGCTAATACTGTTGAGAACTGAATTAGTAACTGGTGTTTACATGTAAGAAATTCCTCAGAACATAAAATACAAAAATTGGAAACCATGAAGATAAAAGATACGCAGTCGAAATAATGTAGAGACAGCAGACAAAGCATGTAGGATTTCTAGGAAAAAAAAGAAACAGATGGAGGAGAGAGAACAGTTAAAGAAATAGTTTAAGCTTCTCTGGATTAAAGATGACTTGAATCTGCAGTTTGAATGAATTGCCAACTACCAGTCAGAATTACAGATATAAGTGATTAAAATCCTTGTATTTTAAAAATACAGGGAAGCTTCTACATCAAAACAAAAAATTATGAAGGAGAAGAAATGAGTAGCACTTTTCATCTGTGTAACTCTAGAAAATAACTACAGCCTGCTTTCAGAAAAGCATTACAATCCAATAATCTTTTATCTGGTAAATATATTTTTCTTACTGATAAGTTAACTTATTTTGCAGATAATGCAAGAATGAATTTAGTATCCTCGATGTAAATACGCTTGTAAGATATTCTAAACAAGTACTGTGTAAATCATAACTGGAAACAAAGAGGAAACAGCGGTGAGGAATGATTATTACATTATATATGACTAAAGTTAAATGATGTGTATTTGTTTTCTGTTGCTTTGTACCGAGTTACTACTAATTTATGGATTTGAACAACAAACATTTATTATCCCATGGTTTTCATTGGTCAGGAACTCAGACAAAAGTTAGCTGGGTCCTGTGTTCTAGGGATATCAAAAGCTGCAATCAAAAGTGTCAGCTAGGACTGTGATGGCATTTGAGGCTCCAGATCCTCTTCATGTGATTAAGGGAAGAAAAGGAATAATCATTGATCAAACCAATAAAAGTTAGGAGAAAGAAAAATCATTAATATAAGATAATTAAGAAATATAAAGTAAAATGGAAGAACTAAAAGGAAGCATATTGTTACACTATGTGTATTAAGTTCCTTTAATATGATAGAAACTATCAGATTTGGTTAAATAATACAAATCAAACTACATATTTATACTATGCTCTTAAAACAAGTTTTTAAATGAAAGATCATCAAAGAATTAAGTAGGTATACCAGAAGAAAATAGTAGTGTAATTTAAGTATTAAACAAGGTAGAAATTTTTCCCCAACCCGCCCCCAAGCAAAGTAGAATTTAAGATTAAAATAAAAGTGTAGGGCCTCCCCGGTGGTGCAGCGGTTGAGCACTGGGCTGCGAAGCTGCCTGCAGCCTCTGCAGCACCTGTTCCATCCCTTGCCACTGGAGAGGGTCCCACATAGTGCAACAGACCTCTCCTGCCGTGCCCGCTGCTCCCTTCGGCAGCATACTTCGTCAATCTGCCTGTTCTGCTCCCCGCTCTGGCTCTGGTGAATTCTCTCACCCTCCTGAGCTTCTGACTGTACCCAGTGTGCGTATAAATAAATAAATAAATCTTTAAAAAAAATAATAAAATAAAATGAAAATGTAGGATAAAGAAAGGACATGTAATGGTAAAGTGAACAATTTATGAAGAAGATGTAAAAAATGTGCAAACCAACCTAGCAGCTAAATAAGAGAAAGTGAGGAGTTTTTTTTTTTATTTAGATAATACAGTTAGACTGGGAGGTTTTATTTTATGTGTGTGTGTGTTGTGTCACTTTAAAAATTTTTTTTATATCTTTTTTTTTTCCTCCTTTCTGTTGGTTGGAGAGTGCCGACTTTGTGGGTGTGGGTGGGTAGCAGGGTTCTGAGCTTTCCTCCCTTCTAGACCTCTTTTATGGCAACTTTCTTCTTTGGGCAGTTTGCCAGAGTCGCCCGTTTATCTTCCGTGTCCCAGTTCTCTCAGGGACCTGCTGTTTTTCCTCCCTATTAACTTTTTTTTATGGGAGGTCTTACTGGCAGCGTTTCCTCGCCACCATGTTGATGAGGTCTCAAGACTCTTTGTTGTTCATTTTCAAACAATATTTGCTTCCACCCACCCCCTCAGGTGCAGTCCCTATGGAATTTCCTTCCCCAATGTACCCCTGCACCATCACCTCAGTCCCCTGTTCTCCTCCCTCCCTCCTTCTGATCCCTCTCCCTCCTCCTCCCCTACAGTATGTCTCTGATTTATAATTGTCTGTTTTTGCTTTGTTGTGTTTTGTGCTGTTATTATTTTTTTTACACCGATGTCTTATTTGGTTCCCTTATATTCCTGCTATAAGTGAAACCATCCGATATTTTTCTTTTTCCTTCTGGCTTATTTCACTGACCATAATTACTTCTAGCTCCATCCATGTTACTGCAAATGGCATGAGTTTATCTTTTTTTTGGTTGCTGAATAATATTCCATTGTGTATATATACCACATCTTCTTGATCCATAGACTGGAATGTTTTAAAAACACATTTTCAGAATTAGACATCTCTTGCAAATAAAAAAAAATAGATAAGAACATAAGAATTTAATTAGATAGCCAACAGACTCAACTGGTATGTAGAACTTTGTGTTATTGTGATACAGTGAGTGGGTTATGTGTATGTATACACATGGACACATGTATACATAACCTTTTAAATTACAAATAAACTCTTGTGAGTACCTAGATGGTTTTCAGTTTGATTTTTGTTTTCTGTTTCTATTCGAAGCACTACTACTGAGAATGTGTTATTGTACCTATCTATGGCTTTGCCCATTTTTTGTGTACATTTTTGCAAATTCATTTTCTCAAAATGAAATTTCTGAGTCAAAGAGTTTAACAGGTATTATCAAATTGTCTGCAATTAGTTTCAATTTCTACCTATGGTATATGACAGTACCTGTGTGCCTTTAACATCATTAATCCTGGGTATCATTGAGTTTTCAAGTCTTTTCCAAACTAGCAGCCTATTTTGTTGTTGACATTTCCTTACATATTAGCATAAATGTTTTAAAATGGTTTTAGTGTTTTGTCTAGAAGTATTAGCATTTAGGAGGTAATATAATCTTTTCAATGCAAAGCATCATCCAACTAAACATTTATATATATACATTTTTGTCTCTTATATTTTTACAGTATTGCCATCCAACACACCAAATGTTTGCAGGACCAAGAGAATACGAATGAAGCCTTTGGAATACTGGCGAGGGGAACGCATAGATTATCAAGGAAGGCCGTCAGGTAAAATTCAATTTATGCTTTAATGTCTGACAGTAAAAAATAATAATTGCAGTTTACTTATGTATGTTATATGCCAGCTAAGCCTACATATCTACATACATTTTGTTATTTAATCATTCCCCCCAAATGTGACAGGAATAAACGATTTTGTTTGAGTACTGTACTCTAGAGACAAAGTTAGAGATATCTCTTAGTAGCAATTTGAGGTGAGTGCGTGACTTTATAGAACTTTATGAACTATTTCCTTACTAGCCACCAGGTTTCTAATTGAACAAAATGAAATATTAGATCAGAACATAAGAAAATTATAAATGGTAAAGGTTAAGTATTCCCTTTTTATTCTTATTTCATCTTTTTCTACATAAATGGTAAAGGTTGGGCACAAAAGTATTGTGAGTGTTACCTTAAAGTTGTTTCCTTTCTTAAAGAATATAGCTAAGTCAAAGAACTAAACTCACATGTGGACTACTATAAATAATTCATTGCTGGCCTTGTGTGTTTTTTTTTTTTTTAAATTGCCAGGTGTGACTATTGATTTTACACAACTGAAGACATTCAGTCATGTTTCATCAGTGCTTCTAGATTTAGAATAAAAGACATTTACATGAAATAGGTTGGTAGTATGTGTTATTTGAATTGTTAACTATAGAATATAGTAATAGTAATGTTTTCTTTGGTACTTTGAAAGGAAATGTGTTATATTTAGAGTTTTGTTTCTCACTTTTCATTTTCTCAGATATGAAATTTTGCCATTTTTGTTAATTTCAGGGGGCTTTGTGATTGGTGGAATACTATCCCCAGACGCAGTATCATCTAAAAGGAAGGCAAAAGGAAACATGGAAAAAGTCAACAAAATTGTTAATAGAAAAAGGATCTGTCTTGATAATGATAAAAGAAGTATGAACTTATTCCTGAAAGTAACTTTTAGATTTTCTTTTAAGTGACAGTACTTTGAAAAGTAGCACTTTGAAAATTTTGAAATTTATCTCTAAAAACTCAGATGTGGTACTATAGGGTAAAAATGACCACCTTTCCCCCACAAATTTTGAAATAAAATTTGAAATTCTTTTAAAAAAATCATTAATGACATAGTATAAATAATTTCTTCATAAGCAAACCACACAAACAAAACTCCTTTTCTGTCCCCAAGCTGTGGTTAAAATTGACATTTTAATGAATTTTTCTAAAGTGTAGTACATGCTATCAGAGAATATGCAGAACAGTCATTTAACTTCTTGATGATGCAGGAGTTCAAGAGTTGTTATGTTTTGGGCCTCCCCTGGTGGCACAGCCGTTGAGCGCTGGGTTGCGAGGCTGCCTGCAGCCTCTGCAGTGCCAGTTCGATCCCTGGCCACCGGCGAGGGTCACACACACACACACACACACACACAAAAAAAAAAAAAAAAAAAAACAAGAGTTGTTATGTTTTAATAGGCTTATAGAAAATGTGTTTAGGATGTATGCTTCTATAGTAAATCATTGTGGTTTTTGAACTTTTATCAAAGTGGTCATTTTTAAATAGGACTATACCTCTGCTTATTTTCTGCTACGACTTGTCCATTATTGTATATCATACTAGTTTTTCTTCAGTGGAAAAGAATTTTAAGTAGTTTGTATTTCAATGATACTTCTTTTGCAGATAATAAATTAGCGATAAATCTGAATATACCTCTGGGAGATCCTTTGCAACCAACGAGGGTAAAGGACCCAGAAACAAGAGAGATTATTCTTATGGGTAAGATAAAGGATGGTATTGAAAATGTTTAGTTTAAAAAACAAAGGACAAAAACTTGATTTGTTGACTGACTTTTATCTACTTTCCATCTCTTGCTCCATTTATTTCAGAGCAAAAATCCAGTAGAATGTCTAATGCTAATAAGCAGCCTGTGTGAGGGCTGTTCTGGTGGAGCACTGATGGCAAGTAATCTCCAGGGACACAGAACACCATGAATTTGTCCTTTGAACTACAAGTACCATTGTCAAGACTGTTAACTCCTACAGTGGTGTTCAGGAGGTCACATTGAGACAAGCCATTTATGGGGAATTGTAGCAAACAGACTCAGGATATACTCTTATTTTGATCCTAGGCAGGGATTGTAGATAGTATTAAGACAGCCTTCCAGGTCTTGGAATGCCAGTAATGATACCTGGTAGGTGAAACCTTTGGGGAGCATGACTAACACAACAATCAGTCAAACAAATAACAGGCTTAAACCTAAGGCCTACAGAGGGTTCTGGAAGGTGCCCGTTATATTTAGTAGGTTTTAAACATTCAGTGTCTGGAGACTGTGGGAGTTCCCAAGGGTTTGACTAATGTGTGGTGGGGATAAGTGACATTCCACTAGGCAATATTTATATATTTGAAATACATAAATGCTTCAACAACTTACTTCTTTATTCAATTATTTGGCAATAGAGGTAGAAGTACAGAGAATTTTATTTAGTGTAATATTAATAGCATCACCATACTGCACCAGGTTTGAAAAATTGTGTTGTTAGGCGTTCATTACTTTTTGTCTGTTTTTGAGCCTCTATTCTCTATATTCTATAATGTGTAGGATTACTAACATTCCTGAGTAGCCAAGGAAACAGTGTCAGAAGCTACTGATAGATAAGAATATTAGTTACAGATTTGGAAAGGTTTGTAAGTAAAAGGGAAATTCAAAAGTAAGATAGTAATTTGTGAGTAACAGAATTCTGTTTACTGAGTACCTTTACCTGATAAGTAAATACCTTGTTATTTAATAATCTGTCAATCAATTACAAAAGAATAGTGGCATAATGATTAAGAGTTATGATAAACTTTTTAAAGATATGGAATTCTTATCTCTTTATTTTATTTTCCAACCTTCCTATAATAGAAATAATAATTACTGCCATTAATATTAATAGCTAAGACCTACCTAATGTTTACTTTGTGCCAGTGTCTTAAATATCTCACACCTGTAACTCATATGAAATATGAACTTTCTTTTTTTAATCTCATTGTATAGCAAAGAAAATGGAGAGAGACAGACAGACATTGATAACTTACCTAAATTCATAGAGCTTGTAAGGCAGAGGGAGGATTTGTCCTCTGGCATTCTGTCTCCAGAGTCAATTAACTTAATCACTTCTGTCTAAGACAGGTTTACATCTAGTCGTAACTATTATATGTGTGTGTGTATTGTTGCATCACTATTTTTTGTATTTATTTTTACTTTATATTTATTTTTTCCCTTAGATCTTGTAAGGCCATGAGATACTTACCAATTTTTTGTTGCGCGTGGTGAACTGAAAGTATATAAAACACTGGATACACCCTTTTTTTCTACTGGAAAATTGACATTAGGACCACATGAAGAAAAGGGAAAGCAGCATGTTCGCTCAGATATATTGGTAAGTGTATTTCTCCATATATTTATCTTTTTGATATTGGTGCAAGTCTGATTTATTGAACTTGATGAAGCATAAAGTGCTGTTTCCCAAAAAATATTACTACAGTGCTCAGAATTTTTTTTTAATTTGTTAATCTATTGAGAGTTAATCAATCTGTGCTTACTTAAAAGTTGTTCTGTGCATAGCAGTGTATCCTTGAGATTCAGAACTTTGATTCAGATGTCTTTAGAACAAAAATCTTAGTGTATAGGTTTGTAAACAATCGTTAAAATTTTAAAGCTTGAGGGGATTTATAGTGATTAAATCTAAATCTCGTTCTCCATCATGCAGTTTAGCAATAATGAGGTGAAAAGAATTCACAATCTTGTAATTAGCAGCAGACTGGGCACTGGAAGCTAGTTGCTTGAAAAAGTACTCAACAGTATATTATCGTATATAGCAAAATTGCTGGCCTAAGTTATCTCTGTGTTTCTCTCTTTCTCTCTCTCTCTTTTTTTTTTAGATTTATTTATTTATGTATACAAGAACTAGAGTTCAGGCTAGAGGTGTGGGGGGTGAGAGGATTCACCAGAGACGGAGTGGGGAGCAGAACAGTGTATTTCAGGCAGATTGACTGAAATACACTGCTGAGGGAGCAGCAGGTGGGTTAAGAGAAGTTCGCTGCGCCTGTGGGTAGTTCCCTGGCAGGGGATCGAACTTGTGCTGTGGTGGCTGCAGATAGCTTCATAGGTTGCGTCCTAACCCCTTGCACCACCAGGAAGGCCCTGTGTTTCTCTCTTTAGAGATTCACCCCCTTGCAACTTTTATGTGACATGTGTATGTATGTATATATTAGATATTCATGCTAGTTCATTATTGTATATTTCAAAAACCTTGTTAGTAAAATGTGTGCAAAGTGGGGAGGCTTGTGTTTAGAGAGCCAAACTGAATAAATAAGGAAAAAACATAGAAATACATGCTACAGTATCTTTTCTCTAAAGTTGATATAAATTTTGTTGTTGTTGGGCCTCCCCTGGTGGCTCAGGCGGTTGAGCGATGCGCTGTGAGGCTGTCGGCAGCCTCTGCAGCACCGATTCCATCCCAGCCAGCCGGCGAGGGTCCCACATGGCGCGGCAAACCTCTCCTGTCTTCCCGCTGCTCCCCTCAGTAGTGAATTTCGTCAGTCTGCCTGTTCTGTTCCCCGCTCTGTCTCTGGTGAATCCTTTCTCCCTCCCACGCATCTGACCTGTACCCTGGTTCTTATAAAAAATAAATCTTTAAAAAATTTTTTTGTTGTTGTTGTTTTATTAAATTATAAGGGTTCTTGGTCTCCCTCATGGCCTAGGTGTTAAGTCTCAGCACTATCACCACTACAGCCTGACTTCCATCCCCGGCCAGGGAACTAACCCACTTATACCTCTCCTGTCTCACTTGCTGCTCCACTTAGAAGTTTATTACAGTAAATCCACTCTGTCTCTTGTGTACCCTCTCAGTCCCAGCACTTCTGGCCTTCACCCCAGTTCTTCTACACAAAAAATATATAAATTATAAGAGTTCTTTTAGAGCTTTTTTTTCAAACACTTCTTTCCCATTTAGGAAATCGGTATGTCATAGTGGTTAAGAACATGAATTCCGGAATCAAATTAGTTCAAATCCAACTTTTCCATTTCTATCATGACCTTAGAAAGTCACACCCTTAGTGCCCTGCCTTGTCTTCTTCATCTCTGAAAAACTAATATCTATAATTACTTAGTACCCATCTCACTGGTATATATATACATCGAATGAATAAAAATAAAGTGCTCAGAACATTGGCTGGCCTAGAGCAAGTGCTATTATAAATGCTAGCTGCATTGTGGTAGTTTAGGCTCGTTTCACAAAGTGGTTTAAAAAAAAGGGAAGTAGGAGGAAGGCGAATTCTCTGAAGCAAAGAAAAAAAAAAAACCCAATGGCTGAATCTCAAAATTTGAATTTTGAAGTTTAAAAGCCTTGCAGTTTTTATTTAGTTGCCTTCCCAAAACCAGATTATTTGCAGGATTCTGCTATCTATGTATAAAACGTAAAATTTGCCATGTTTGATTATGGAAGTCTGTATGACTGAAGAGATTTATCTTCTCTTATTTTATTACTCTTGGTACTTGTGTAAATGCATGACTTTTTTGTCTTTTTTTAAGATTTATTTTTATATTTTATACAAGAACCAGGGTACAGGGCCTCCCCAATGGCACAGCGGTTGAGCGCTGGGCTGTGAAGCTGCCCGTAGCCTTTACAGCACCTATTCGATCCCCAGCCACCAGCAAGGTTCCCACATGACGTGCAGACCTCTCCTGCCACGTCTGCTCCTCCCCTCAGCAGTGTATTTCATCAGTCTGTCTGTCTGGCTCTGGTGAATTCTCTCACCCTCCCGTGCTTCTGACTGTACCCAGTGCTTGAATAAATAAATAAACAAATAAACAAACAAATAAATAAATAAATCTTTAAAAAAAAAAAAGAACTGGGGTACAGACCAGATGCATGGGAGGGTGAGAGGATTCACTAGAGACAGAGCAGGGAACAGAACAGGCAGACTGACGAAACACACTGCTGAGGGGAGCATCGGGTGAGACAGGAGAGGTCTGCCGTGCCGTGTGGGACCCTCCCAAGCTGGTCGGGATCGAATCAGCACTGCAGGCTGTGGACAGCTTCACAGCATGGCACTCAACCGCCTGTGCCACCAGGGGAGGCCCTTGTCTTTTTTTTTTAAGATTTATTTTTTTATTTATACAAGGACTAGGATACAGGCCAGAGGCACAGGAGGGTAAGAGGATTCACCAGAGAAAGAGTGGGGAGCAGAACAGGCAGATGGACCAAAGACACTGCTGAAGGGAGGAGCGGGCGACAGGAGAGGTCTGCCGTGTCATGTGGGTATCTCCCTGGCCAGCCAGGAATCGAACCAGCGCTGCAGAGGCTGCGGACAGCTTTACAGCACTGCACTTAACCGGCGGTGCCACTGGGGAGGCCCCGTTTTTTGTCTTTTTGTTCTTTCTTTGACTCATTAGTCAAATTGGGTAGTCTGGTGTCCTAAACTTGGAATCATTAAAGAGAGGTCCATAAAAACCTAGCCATTTTTTCTAATATAAATGGTGCCCATCTATACTATAATTTTTCAGCTTTACTATAGTATAAAAGCAATATGTATTCAGTAAAAACTGGGTGGCAGCAGCAGCAGCAGCAATGCTCCCAGCCAGCATTTTCAGTTTGTGATATTATCACTTTACAATGGGTTTATTCGGACATTGTAAGTTGAGGAAGGTCCATATAGTAAAGAGACATTCTTTACAGTGATTCTGAGTTTTCATAAGCCAATAAATAATAATGAAAAAAAAAGACTTTTTTCCCTGTATAGTTTCCTATTGCCAGTCTAAAAAATGACCACAAATTTTGTGACTTGAAAGAACACCCACTATTATCATAGTTAGGTCAGTTATAAAAGTCTGGTGGACTTCACTATTTCGAACCAAGATATCGGCAGATCTGTATTCTTCTCTGGAGGTTCATAGGTTGAATCTGTTTTCAAGTTCTGTGGTTAGCAAAGATCAGTTCCATGAATTTAAATGGCTGAGGTTCTCGTTTCTTCACTGGCTATTAATCAGTATGTTATTCTCAAGATCTGGAAATAGTCTGTATTCCTTGGTTCCTGACCCTCTTCAGTGCTAACAACAGTGTATCTCATGTTTCATTTCTCTCACTTCTCTGTTTCATCTCTCCAAGGCTTCCAGCAGGAGAAATTTTTATTTCTATTTTTAAGGGCTTATACAACTAGATTAGACCCAACTAGATAACTCAAGGTTATCTTTCTAAGGCCCCTTTTACTACCTAACAGTAAATTCTGAAGATTAGTGTCTGGGCATCTTGGCTGGAGGCTGTGTGTGATGGCAGCGGCGGGGCGGGGGTGGGGTGAGGGGTGTGTGTGTGTGTGTGTGTGTACGGGGGAGGGTTACTAGGGCCCTTATTTCCTTAATTCTTTGTTGTGGTTCAACTTGAAATGAAATTGGTTTTTAAATTTACAGGTTTTTTATGTTAAGTTTGGTAACCTTTTATGTACCTTACATGAAACACCTTATGTGATAACAACTGGGGATTCATTCTTTGTTCCTTCAGGTAAGAATAATTAAAGACATTCTCTTTCACATATTATAGCATTTTTATAGATACTCATGAGCACCCTGAAGATTGAAACCACAGTGATCAAAATTAAGCATGATGTCATTGATGCTAAAGAAGCTTGGTACATATTTTCTTTTAGTTTTATCACTAAAGAAGTATTTTAATACTTGAAATTTGAATATATGAAATGTGAATAATTGTGAAATACAAATAAATACAAGAAAATATAAGAATTGCTTATTGCTGAAAATATTTACTTAGAATATAGGTTGTCTCCAGGATAGAAGAAAAGTTACTATCTTTAAAACATCGTGTAGTCACACAATTTTGAGTAGGTTATTTATTTTAAGATTTATTTATTTGGCCCTCCCTGGTGGCAGGGGTTAAAGACACAGCGCTACTGCCAGCCACTATGGCACAAGTTCAGTCGGCTAGGGGGCTAACCTACATGGCACAACAGACTTCTCCTGTCTCACCCTCTACTCCCCTCAGCAGTGTTTTGCTGCATAAAAGAACTGGGGTGCAGGCCAGAGGTGCAGAGGTGAAAGGCTTCACCAAAGACAGAGTGGGGAGCAGAAAAGGCATATCTGCTGAAGTACACTGCTGAGGGGAACAGTGGGCGAGACAGGAGAGGTCTGCTGTGCCATGTGGGTTAGCTCCCTGGCCTGGGCTCGAACTCATGCCACAGTGGCTGGCAATAGCTTGATAGGGCTGACACTTTAACCCCTGCGCCA